TAATCTAATTCATAGAATTACGAATCATATTTACATAATTTTATTAGTTACGTAACAATAACATTGTGTCTCTCAAGAACGTTATTTATAATTGTTGGCTATAATTATGATAGCTTTCATGGAATTGAAAACAAAGAAAAACATACAAGAAACAGAGGAGAGATACATAAAAAACAAGATTAAGAAACAATGAAAGATATGATTTGTCGCGATATTTACATAACGTTTTAACTCGTCAGGATTTAAGTTTGAATTAAAGGGATGCAGTGATTAGAAAATGCTTAACACAATTATATTGCTAACGAATCGGTACGTTATGCAATTGTCGTATGTAAGAAAACAATACCTTTTTTTTACGAGAAAAACGGTCGCGATGCAGGGCGGTTCTGAGGTTTTTCAATGACCGTGGATAAAGGCTGATAAACTTGCTGATACTGCTCCGATAAAGTGGACGCGCCATAGGCAAGAAAGAAAACAATAAATATTAAACGTCTCACTAGACTTCTATATTGCACTAGAACTTCTTCTCCACTACCTAGTAAAATGGCAAATAGAGGCTATTACTCTCCTATAAAATACTTATCCTCTTACATATGTACAATTTAAAAATTGCTACCATTTTTTCACTTTTACCTTTAGCTATTACTAATATTTTCGTTTGTCTGAATGTATCTCATCCTCTTTACATAAAATATTTTTCTAATGTTGGATACACACGATCACGCGTTTGATAAATTTTCTTGCAATTCTTGTACCAGATATTTCATTGTCCAGTAAAATACAAATTTTGTAAGATTAAAATTAATCGAAAGCAATTGATAAGTTAAGATTATTGAAAAATATATGTCCATTATGAGATATCTTTGTAATTAGATCTCTATATCGTTTATTCTATATTTGTTAAGAAATTTAAAATAATTAAAACAGACTACAAAATTAAAATTATTAAGCATAATAATTAATTTTATTGAACTGATGTATACGATTTGCTGAAACATATATTTTATTACATGATTACATATCGTATATTTTTATAGAATAAAAATAGTAATGAATAAAGTTTTGAACTAATTAATATTATAACAGAATTCAATGATAATATGCTTCAACTTGAAATGAAACCAAATTGAAATCAAACGAGGAGCCGACGTTTTGGATCTCATGTCACTTGCTCAGTCCTGTTCTGCCAAAGTAGAGAGCAGTGGATTTCTAAAGACAACTTTTCGGTTGGTTAACCCTTCTCGACCTGCCAATGTAGGGAATGGATTTCCAATGTTAGCCTAAACCGAGCAAACTCTCTTCATTTTAATCATAGAATTGTGACTTTAATTTGAGCAATTTTCTATTTATAAATAACTGATTTTATAGAATTCTAATATTATATTTAAAAATATCGGTCCTCGAGATTGTCTTGTCTTTATTTATTAAAATTTTAATATTATTTTTTTCAATGAGTGCAACAGTTTTTAAGATTTTTAATAAATTACATTTTAAACTTGCAAGATATGAAAACTTTTTCAATTTTATTTGGGCAAAGCTAATGTTTTAACTAAAGGATATATCGAAATGTATTTTTAGTTGCATGCAAAATGAATCATTAAGGCGTATATCCAACTTTAGAAAATATAGCGCAGAAAATTTTAACAATCGCGACTTGCAGCACGACCGTTTCGACCGTATCAGAAACTGACCGTGCTTTCTCGTTCGCTATTGCGCTTTACCTTCCGTTAAGAGGATGTCGCTCTCATACTCGAGAATTTCGTTGTCGTCACAGATTCTTTATGTCGGCGAATAGAAAGAGATAGACACGTAGACAGTTAGAGCCATCGATTTCGGATTATCCATGCATCCGATATTAATCGTACTTTATATCGGAAAACAAAACCGGAAAACTAAACTCTCTTTCTGGCGCACACGTTGGTTCGCGCAAAAGTGGAGACCAGAGCGTAAGCGCTGGTCGCATCCTTGATATCGGATCAATAAGGAGATTATTATTAATCGTCGAGTCTGAAAGCAGAATATGCACCGAGACTTAAAACAATCTCCTCGTTGTGTCGTTCGCTCTGTTTCTCTCTCTTTCTCTTTTTCCTGCCCTTTCTTCTCTTCCCCGTTTTACGAAAATAGTCGGCGCATGGCGCATGGCGGATGCGCGGACGATCATAAAAAATACGAACAGAGTATAATTAATTCGTTTACTACGTACTACAGTATTGCTTTAATATGATATGGTACAGTCTTTTCACTGATTGTCCAATATCACTACGTAAAACATTTTTCTTAGCTCTGTTAGTTTGTTCCTCTCTCTCTCTCTCTCCCTCCCTCCCCTCTCTGCCTCTTTCTTTCTCTTTTTCCCTTTTCTCTCCCTTTCTTTTATTATTTCTCTCTCTCTCTCTCTCTCTCTCTCATTTATTCTTTTCTTTATCTTTTTCTAAATTTCAACTCCTTGGTTCTGCCTTACATACGCAACATACATTCACTCGTTCACATGCACACTATCGTTCTCTTCACTGTTTACACTGCACTGAGCGTCTTCATTAGGATTAATATCACTTTTTCTTCGGCGCGACGTATCCGCGCGTCGTCTTTATAACAAATACGTACTTTATATTTTATGTTTCGAGTTGTACTTTTCAAGACGCGTTGGTAATCTTTGCTCTTCGCCGTTCACTTTTCATGACAAGCTCGTTCGTGAAAAACGAACGACGAAAAGGCTCTCTCTCTCTCCCTCTTTCTCGCTTTTCAACCCCGTCGGGATCATCCTCCGACAATCGATTGTGCCTTCAATGATTATTGCTCAGTAAATTATTGCAATGGCGACCTAGTGATTTACGATTGTTTCCGATGTGTTTTTTTGCGATATAAATATTGTCGATTTGTGACTACGTAAAATATTACAAGCTCAAAAGTGAAAAATTATTAAGACCGTAATTGCGTTAAGGATTTAATTTATTGATCCATTCGTATCAATAGACAATATGATGATGTCGAAAATTTTAAATATCATTGTATTAGAGAAATTTACACAAATTTTTAGTTTAGTTTGTCTATTTTATGAATTTTTTATGATAGAAATTATAAAAATTGAAAGAATTATATTGGAAAGTTTTTCTTTAACATTTAGATATTCTTTATGTATTATTTCGATTGATAATTGTTTGATAAATAATTTCTGTTGCAATGTGATGCTAAAGTATGATAATATACACTTAAAGATCTTACGACTTCTTAATTTGTATCCTTATGATAACAATTATGCATTTATAAAAAGTGATATTATAAACAAATACGAATCTTAATAAAAATTCATTAAATTTTTTTACTTCTTAGCAAAGAAAAATGGAATACTATTCCTATTGTACGTTTATTTTACATGGATTATAGGATTTCATATATTGGTTTCCAAGAAATATGATAGTGAAATCGGTGCCGAACAGCGATTTCAACCGCGAATGCCATACGACGAGGGGTCGAAGGGCAAATAGCATCGTAAACTGTTTTATCGCTATCGTTGGTAGTGTATTTCTTGATCTTGTAGTTTTGCGGATTGCAAGCTTGAAGGTTCTTTATTTCCGATGATCAGAAGAAAATATTAGTTGAAGCATTGTAATAATAGAAATATTCAAATTGAATTAAATTTTTATCTAATTAGTTTCATAAAATCACAATACATATCTACATTTTCTCTTTCTTCTGCTTCGAATAATTCAAGATATAATATTGAATGAATTTCTAACAAATCTTTATTTTTACATATTTTTTGAACTTAATATATAAGTTTTCTCTTGATAAAAAAGAATTATCCATGATAAAAAAATATCATATTAAGCTACAAAAGTTAATAGTTATTGATTGCAAGAAAAAATTATACTTAAAATTTTCCCTCTAAATTAAAAAATATTGCACAGCGTATATTTCAGTTAAAAGAAAACTTTAACATGTGGGTTATGAGCAATATATAACCTTAAAAAAAAGATAACAAATATATCCTGTTTCAGATGAAACGCACGAATCGGACGGTATTTATGTAGCCCTATAATATTATTATCCAACACAAATCCATCGCTACAATGCTTACTGCTAATGTAAATGAAAATACGAAGAAAGCGTTTATATCCCTCTAGTGCAGAGTTTTCCATTTTCCAAAAAGCATACCGTTGAAAGCGTTATGCATTATTGCAGCGATCAGTGTTTTTTCTCGGCATTATCTGCATATCACTCGCATTCGTTTTTTCGAGCGAAATAAAGAGGCGCAATATGCGTTTGAATTTGCTTACTTATTTCAACATTAGGATATAAGACATATCTTTAATGTTTTCATTAAAGCAAAGTCAATTAGAGATTTGTTAATTAAATAGACAATGTAAAAAATGGCCCACTCTATATTAGAAATCATATAGTATTGCAACAACTTCCGTTGCGGGTGAAGAAAACGCGACGATGATATCAATTTGATAGATCAGACCGATTGCGATATAAATGTATATTTACTGCTATGATACCGCGATGATATCCATCGTGAGACATTCGTAAACGCGTCACCAGCAGTTTTCATTGCATCGATTGTATAACGTCACGAGAGATAATCGTGTTAGCTGAAGAGGAGAGAGAATCGCGAACCGAAACGGGTCAAGAATAGCTCCCTGCAACCGGTGATTCCAGAATATGCGTTTTAAAGCATATTACACACGCGCAGTGATAACAAGCGACTCTTCAGCCTGTGACAGCTTCGTGTACCGATAGTATCGTCTGCCCGTAGTATCAAGCCATTCGTTTTAGCGGCCGCGAAAGACTGCCGCAGATGGATATCCCGGTGACATCGATCCGACGACAATGACTTGGGATCTCCTCACCGTGATGACCACCGGCGGAGTCGGGGAAAGCCCACCTTGACAGTTTTGGGCACTTCACGGCCAACCCTGAAACTCAGTGAGAGGTTCGGGTTTGGGCTCGAGACTAGGCAGCTGGTACGGTCAGTTTTGCTGTCACAAGCCACCCTCGGGTCAATGTTGAGCCGCGAACTTCATGCGCTTCTGCTTCTGCCGCTGATTGCAGAACCATACTCGTACGACGTTCTTCTTCAAGTCGAGCTTTTCCGCGATCGCCGCGATCTTCTCACCGGACGGCCGCGGCTGCACCGCGAAATACGCCTCTAACGAGCGTTTCTCTGGCGCGGCGATGCTTGTACGTTTCCGTTTCTTTTCGCCGGCCGGTAATACCGAAGGTGCGTCCGGGTCGCGTCGCTTATTCTTCGCCTGGGCCTCCGCCTCCTCCAGCCACGCCTGGAGGATCGGCTTCAGGGCGATCATGTTGTTGTGCGAGAGCGTGAGCGATTCGAAGCGACAGATCGTCGACTGCGAGAGAGCGCCAACACCCGGTAGCTTGAGATTGGCTAGCGCTTTGCCGACATCGGCTTGCGTAACGCCGAGTTTGATGCGCCGTTGTTTGAATCGCTCGGCGAAGGCCTCCAACTCGCGCGGATCGGTATCTGCGTCAGGATGTAGGCCCGCCAGATGATGACTCATCATACCGTTCATGCCGCCGTATACGGACGGACCGTGGATGCCCGCGTGATGCCCCGGTCCACCGCCCGTGCTTTCGGACATTGGTGTCAGTGTTGTCATCGAATTTGCTGGATCCAGCATGTCGAGACTCTCCATTCCTGGATGGCTCATCTGAAACACGCAAATTAATTTTTTCTTTATAATTCATTCGAGTACTCGTTTATCGTTTTGTTAAGAACCTTCTTTTACGTTCGACATTGCCGAAATGTTTTTGGAGTATCTGTTGAAAGTTTTAGTTAGTAGACAACGTTAGTTAGTCGCACGGAATATATTGATGGTGACATCCTTTGACGAGATGATACAAAAGCTCGTGTTCCGTCATGATAATTTTGCTTGTTTCAATCTTGCTAGTAATTATATGCGTATAGGAATAGAATAAGATCTATATTAAAAGCTATATTATTTGGTATTCACTATTTTGTCTTTCCTTTTTCTCTTTTAGAAAACCTACGTGCGTGTGATCGGTCTTAATTTTTTAAATACTCTTCATATACAACGAGATTTTGTAACATACTTAAATATTTCAAAAGAAAAAGATTTCTCTTCTCTCTTTTATCAATATTCTTGGTTTATTCTTTAATATGTGTGATAATTACTAAATTGATAATTAACAATACACATCAATAAAAGGAAATATGTCTGTTGGGTTGATCAACTTCAGCACAGTCGGACTTACATAAAAATTAATTGCTATTTTTTTGTTAATTGCTCTTGATCTTTTGTTTAGCGAATCTCGCTCTCTTTCTCTCTTTCTAAACCAGTATTATTTTTTGCAACTCGGCTGGAGCAACAAATTCGATAATAGAGTAATTAATTAACAATTAAATAGCACTATAAAAAGACGTATTTGTTTTTAATTTTTTGCTATTTCTTATATAGCTGTATTGACTTTAATCTTAAGCTAGCACAGCCATTGTTTTCCGTAAATCGATTGGTATAAAAAAATCGAAATTAAGAACAATTAATTAGAAAAAAAAGAATAACAGGTGGTTTTTATATGTATAAGTCACATTTGATCAAAGCTAAATCAGCTTAATAGACCTAAAGAAAATCTATAATTAATTTAAGATAATTGTTTATAATGACCGTTTTCTAGCAAAAAAGACAGTGAGTTATTTCATCCTCATTTAACATTAGAAAACAAGAATGAAATGATTCACTATGTTACAGTGTTTTTTTTTTTTAGAGAAAAGCTCAATACCAATTTAGCATTAATAATATCTAAATTAAACACATATTGTGGAACAGAGATATTAAAAACAATTTATTAAAACCATTTATTAAAAAAAAAAAAAAGTTAATATTGATAGCACTTTCTAATTATTAAAAAGTGATATTAATAATTAAATATGTTAACATAACGATATCTTGCATTGGAAAAATTCGAGGTATTCGCTTCACGTATGCATATTATTCAAGAAAATATGTAATATAAAGTGAAACGTATAAATTTGGAGGTGTTTGAAAGGCCTGCTGAAAGGCCGAATGCGTATCGTATCGTCGAGTTTGCGGAAATGCGTTTTGATGAAGCACCATCGTGGTGTGGGAGAGATATGAATGAAGGGGATAAAAAGCAAAGTTAGGTCGAGTGCGGTAGAGAGAGTAGGAAATATGTACAAGCTAACACGTATAATTATGCTACACGTGCCGCGACCGTCGTCACGAATGCAAAACGCACCTCCAGCATAACTCTTTACAAATTATTTATGAACTTCTTTCATATTTTTCTTCTTTTACACTCTGCTGTTGCATAGAGCACGTGCTGTGGCATGCTATTAACTCGTTTTCTTAAAGCCAATATCGGATATTCATCTGTTGAAATGAAACGGAAAATGCATTGCCACGAGTCAAATACGATAAATCGCAAATTAAGGACGAATAAATGAGAAAGTTATTTTTTGAAATGATGTTTTGTATATTTGGAAAAAGTACGAAGAAAGTATCTTCTCATTTTTTGTTTCTTATTCCCTTTGAATTTGGCCTGTTTTTTTTTTTTTTATAGAAATGCTCCAATATACGCATACTATAATTTTTATTCAAATTGATTGATTTTTTCAATTAACTTATTTTAATTGTTAATCTGCTTCAGTACATAATTTATTTATTGCGTTCTCTACGTACTTAAGTATGTAAGGTACCACGCATACGCGTATGATCTTGTTTACACACATGAAATTGTCTAGTCTCACGAGAGTATACTGAATTAACTAGACGCCAACACAGCAACGGTTTTGACCGTGGGGACAGAACATGTAATTAGAATTAGTTCACACGTATATTTCAGAAATAAAATTGTTCTTCATGCAAGTACAATAAACTTATTAGACAATAATTTATATCGCAAATGACAGTAATTGTCGATATAGCATATATGTGTGCGATTGTTTAAGGATTTTATTGTAAAATAGCTTTTTATTTTCGTAAATGGAAATGTATTATATATGTGTCAAAATCTATTTGTGTCAAATGCATAATGAAATGCGAATGAATTAGTTGTTGAATCATCCCTTAATTATGAGACCTGTCTACATTTTAATTAGCTAATTTCTTCCGTTTGTGTATATTCTTCTAATGAATTATTCTTAGCTTTGTATACGTAAAACTGCATCGTGTTCGGGTAGCACGTAACACTAAGTATAGCGCCAAAATCACTATAAAAATCGCTACTAAAAATATCCACGTCGTTCTCAATCCGGCCATTACCTCACGAACATACATAAACGCTTATACGACCTCGTCGAGGCTTATACACACATACACGTACACGCGTAGGCAACACGCGCATCATCTATTCTCATGAGAACGGCAGTATAGTGAGCTAACTGGATGGCACGGTTTCGGTCGGCGGTGGTGCCCTGGGATAGCGCAGTTACATCAGAAATGCAGGGGGGTTGCGCTGCATGGACGTTGGCGGGCAGCGTGGAAAAGGCAGAAGGTGGAAGCTGTCGGGAGCACCGGTAGCAAATATACAAGCATACAAATATTTCATCATTACGCTGACACGATGGTAGGGTTAGCCGGCTCCTATGTTTTGCTCTTTCTCCTTGCTCTATTGCCCACCTCACCCCTAATTTTTCTTTCTTCCCTCCTTGTATTCGCTCTCGATCCGCGCGCACATACGGATCTCACGCGTTACGCGTGCCCACTTGCTGTTTTTACATCAGTTCGACGTTTGTTTTTGCCTTTCTGCTTTCTTTCCTACTATATACGTGTATTTAAAATCTTTTTATTACTCATCAATTCCTTCTATACGTCTAACTTATGTAGGTACGCGTGTTCTTCTTTTTTTTCAATACGGTCAAAATACTGCGCATTTATTAAAACTCAATGCTCTCAAGCACAGTTGAATATCGTATGAAGTTGAAATTGAATAGTTATGGGATTTGATTTGCTCCATCGCTGAAATTAAAAATCATTTATATTTTTTTTCGCTTACATCGTTTTCAGTCCAAAAATCTATAAGAGACACGTAGTCCGGTCCAAAGTAATTGAAAAAATATTTTTTTTAAACTAGTGTCATTAAAATTGATCAAAAATAGAATTTTATTTCTCTTAATTGATTTATTCTCGTCGGTATATAATTTGGAATTGTAATTGTTTATACATGTCTTTTTGAAAAACGATGATCTCTCACTAGTTACTGGTTATTGTGACGAATATTATCTTAGTGGTTGAATTGAGAGGAAGGTTGCACGTCTCGAGATTTGAATTCGGATCCCAACTGAGGTAATATTTCTCGCAACAAATTATTTTGAGATATTTATTAGCATCAAATTGTTAATATCCTTCTAAAATATTTATCAGCATCAATATCATTAAATTGCTTGTCAATTTAATATATGATTACTACCTTAGTTCTGTTCATGCAGAATTCAAGACGGGAAAATATTTTGGCGCGCAGTCTGCAGAATTGAATATGTATAGGCATATGAATTCACACCGCGACACATTTAAATACCAAAATCCCCTTTTTGCCCGAAAATAGGATTATTTATCCTAATTGATTATTAAGATACTTTAATAGTCTAATTTGTTACAACTATTTCGCGCTGAATTTTGTTAAAGTTTACAGCATCAAAAAATCAAGTCAGAAAATTGAATTTATAAAACGGAGCTGGTAGTAGAACAAATGGCGCAATAGAAATAATGATCAATTTAAAGCACAAAGTTGTACATAATTTACATCTAACAAGTGGAGTCGAGGAAAAGGAGAGAAAGCGATTTATGACGATAAAATCACGTACGCAAATCCCACAGAAAGCCGACACGCGAGAAGTTGAACAAAACCCATATTGAACCCTCGCCGCAGACGCAGGTCCCGTGGACCCTTAGAATTCATTGCTCTCTATCTGGGGTTAAAGGGGGGGGGGGGGGGGAAAAATATACAAGCAACACGCCCCTACATTTAAGAACATCATTCCGGATCGATGCGCATTGGTTACCCGGCGTCGTCCTCCCATTGTGCTTCTATCATCAGCATCAGATTGCTCAAATTAGCATAAGGTACACGAGGCAACAAATTGAAATGCAATTCGCACGAAATCATATATGTATTATTGTGACCGTATCTAAACGGCATAATCACGGCACCGCGACTGCACTGCTGTTGCACGATTATGAACGACGGTTGTAAATATAATGCGGCTTATTAACCATTAAAACGCAGAAAATTAAAATCGTTGTCTGCATTGTTCGCGATATTAACAAATAAACTGCGTAAATTAAATTTTTCAATCTGCCGATTAAATATGAATTCAAAATTAATTGCCGCGCGTAATTAATTATTAGCAACGATTTTAACCGACCGTTGGATTCGTTGCATTTTATGGATGTACCATCCCCCAGCTTGTATACGGGGGTTTACGAAATGGCAATAGCAGCCTTCAGCTTTTATCACGATAATTATCTTGCACGAATAATACTATTTTTCTTTTATTATCAACGATTAAATCTCAGTACATAGTTACGATATCTAATGCAAGAATAAGAATAGAAATGCAAAATGGATAAACCATTTGATTTGATATTCGCAGTTAAATGTAGCCGCGATATGTATATTCCATACAATATTTAAACAGCTTAGTTTGCGCGATTAATATTGTCCATTTTTTTCTTCACAAAAATATATAAGAGAGATTTCTTACTTTTAATAAAAGCTTTTTATCGATTTGTAAAGAAAGAGTACATCTATATAGTTTATTTATTGACACAACATTAAATAAGACAATACGTGTTCACTTTCTAACATTGTATTGTAGAATGTAATATGTACGATAGAATAAAATATATCAAAAATGCGGACTCACAAGGAGGTGTGATTGTACCTGATGATGTGGCCGGTTATTCGGGTGGGGGGTAGGCATATGTGCTCCGTGATGATACACAGATACGGGATCGTGCTTCAGCGGCATTGGTGTCCCAGCGTTGTGCTTTCCCAAATCTGCCGCCAAAGCCTCCGCTCTTGAAAGTAAGCCATCTTGCAGACCACTATTCAAGCCACCGAATAAATCACCCTGAAACACAAAGTGTTACAATATGTTACTTATTGATTAAAGCATTAAGTAATGTTTTGACAATCAGATAACTTGAATTTGTACTATTTGTTACATTGTGATCTAATTGCGTCTTCCTAATTTTTACACTTCATGTATTTGCAGTTATATGCCTTTTATAATTTAAAACATTTTTTTTAAATTCAGCATAATTAATAATGCATTAATTTTTTCACGATTTTAATTACTGATTGTCACTGCTATTTTTGTGATATTTAAAAAGACCATCATATAATATTATTAATAATACTTTTGACTTGTAAATAGAGATTGGGATCATTAATTGAATAAATATTTTAATGATAAATTAGGAGATCTTTTTCAGTTTTCATATGCCAAATTTATTTGAATATTTACATATAAAATTCATATTAACGTGCACATATAATTTTTTGTTTGTTTGTCGCTAATTTAGTATTTATTTATTCGCATTTAATTACAAGCGCAAAGGAAAACAGATTAAATATCGTAATTTGCAAATGTAAATTGATTTACTTTATATGAGGATAGTGCACAAATAATGATTAGTTATAGCCTATTATTTATTATATAAATTTTTGTTGAATTTTATCCATTTGACGTTATCTGGGCAACAATGAGCTTGTATATTGGATGGCAACATGGCTGTGCGATCGATAGCCTAAAAATAGTTTTATTATCCGAGATGTTCGCGTATTGCAAGTTTTTTAGGCTCAGACACAAATTTTCTATTATTTAAGCTGAATTTTTTAATTTTTCCAAAATATTATATTATTTTGTTATACAAATTTAATTTTATATATTTCAAAGTAGACAATTAAATAAATAATATTCGTAAAGGACTCTTAATAATAATAAAAATTAAATATGAAAACAAGGCATGTAAGAGTCAATACCAACGCACAATATTAAAAAATAATCAGAATTCTATTACATTACATTAAATAACATTACATAAATTCCATTGCAAAATATTACATGTTTCGGTCTTTATATTAGACCCTCTTCAGATATATGTTAAATATAAAATTGTTACACTACTTCGAAAACGCTGAATAAAATTCAATAGTAAACCACGTCAACGAATGAACATAAACCAAAGGTATCGAAATTGTTTGACAAAAGGTTGGATGGCCGATTGAACAGAATTTCTTGATGTTCTAACAAAATTCTACAGTTAATTAATTCAATAATCACTCAAGCAAACACGATAGAACACTCACCATTATATGTCAACAATTTATAAACTCGAAAACGAAATATTCATAATCTTCTTGTCAGTCAGTGTCATAGCAAATAATAATTAATATTCGTCATAATGTAAAATTACAGAGTCCAATTCCATTAAATTATATTTTTCAATAATAGACAATCAAAGTATAAAAATTGTAGAGAGTCCAGAGATAAAATTACATATGTATAACTGTTTCAACTGACAAACCCTGACTAACAGAAAATTACTTACATTAGTATGATCTTGGCTATACAAAGTTAAATTTGTTTACAATAGGAATGTATGCCTTATGTAAGCCCTCAGTGTCGGTTTGAAGATTGATGCTATTCTTTTGTTCTTTTATATGGAGCATCTCGGAAATTAATCGCTTATGGTAACAAGGTTCCTCATCAAGAACTTCTATTTCATCCCAATTGAAATCACGATTACTCTCTAATCTATGTTCTGTTATAACTGACCGAGACGAAGTGTTCCAACGTATATGATTTCGGTGTTCAGCAATACGTGTTCTTAGCTGTCTACTCGTCTGTAGACAATTAAACAAAATTTTTTTTTTGGACATTAATACCTATTAATTTTGATTTAAACAAATGTATAGGTATATTGTAAATACTAAAAAAAGATATTTATTATCTAAAAACATTTTCTTATTCATTTCATTATATTTTTAATTATAACTTCAGATAATTATAATTTGGGATAGCGCAACGGATACATGTATATAAAATTTTGAAAAAATTATTTTAAACGATAGAAAACTAGTAAAAATTTCTAATGTAGGATGAATTGGATGATATTGCGTTATATAAACTTTATATTGAAACGTCAAATTGTTTTTTCTCGAAAGCGAGTTTATTTGAACAACAGTCATGATAACTTGCGAATGCAGGCTTGTAAAAGAATACAAGTTTTATCGAAACATCTCGTCATTTGAACTATGAATATATATTGCCGTAAGAAAAAAATATCTCTGACGGTAAGGGAACGTTTCTTTCAGGACTCGTGTTTATACAACCCTTCTAGTACTTAATATGAATAGAATAGTATTCCTACAATTTGGTTATCTATTATGAAATTATCCTATACATGACAAAAAATAACAAGGAATACGCGTAATAATCTACTCTTGTAAAAACAATTTTCATAGTTAATGCGCGATATTCGGTATTAAAGATGTATATATATATATATATATATATATATATACACACAAATATATATATATAATATTTTTGTGTATATAGTATTTTTCAGTGTAATAGAAACAACAGATATGTGTAATTGGAAAAACGACGATATTTGCACGGATTAATGGTATTAGATTACAATCCCCCCGAGCCCGGTAACGTCATTGTATTAGCGCATGTACACATGCCCTATGATGTTCGGTAATCAAATTCATCCGTTACACTGGAATCGATCTGAAGGATGGATACTTGACCGAGTCCCCCTCGGGACGGTGGACAGAATATATCCGTCAGTATCGCGCAGTGGTGAAACTGGACGAGCCGGGGGGAGGATCATCCCGATTCCCTTTCGCGTGTTTGGAGATCCGGTCCCCCTCGGCGGAGTCAACATTTAATGGTAACGAAAATAGCTTAAACTACGCTACGGCGAAATTTATGAGCAGTGCAGAACGGAGTAACAAGGGGGGTGGGTGTGATTTCATTTCATGGCGCGTTATGTGCTAGGAGGGTTGGACCAAAATTCCCTTTTTGTAACTTGCCGATTTTTAAAAGAATTTCGTGAATGCGTAACTACATATTCTATATACGTATAATACATATACGTATTCTATATTAATTTTTCGGACATCAATGTTTCTCAATCGATATACTATGTAATTTTTTAATCTTTGACATAATATGTAGTTTTTTAAACTTTTTATTGAATTATTTTATTTTCTTTCTTCTATTATTGTCTTTGAAAAAAAAAGAGAACTCGTAACAGTTTTATTTATTTATAACGAAATATTCGAAACTCTCTCGATAAGATATGAATTACTGATGTAAAATTATACTGATGTAAACTAATTAAAATTTATGTAACTTGATATCGATTACTGTGTTATGTCGACTTTATAGCTGCAGTCAATTTGTTTCCATCTACTCTTTGTTATTGATTAAAGTAACTTTTTTAGGGGAATATCTTAATGAAAGCTGTACATTGCATTCATAGCCTCATATCACTTAGACTTGTCTGTACACCGAGGTGAGATCGATATTATATGGGACATTCTGCATCAACTACATCTGTCACTTGCGACATGTTACTAGGTTCGATCTACGTTCAAAGAATATCGCAGTTATAAGTTGTATATAACTTATAACATGCCTTTGAAGCCATTTCAATACGAACATATTTTTCAAATCTACGTTTAAACAAAATTTGCAGTTTCGCTAATACGAAATGTCGTCTAATATAAAATGTTAGCCTTACTAAACATTATCTCATTATTGTCTCAATGATTTCGCGTGTAAAACGAATCAGTATAGTTTAAACTATTTCTGTTGGCTTTTCTTTCTTCTATTAAGTAATATTAATTAATAATTACTGATTTTCTCTATTCGTGTAAAGATTCGTGTGCTTCGTGTAACTTGTTATTTGATGACATTAATGAATCGTTAATCGTATAAACAAACTAATTTTCAAATATAAACAAATTGAATGAGTTTGCTGGATTCTACGATATGTACTACATATAATTTATTATTATGAATGTACATAAAAATTGTTAATTTAATAACAATATTTACGTACAAATCTTCGACATAGCTACAGTTTCTGTAATATCTCTTAAAAGAAAGCATTATATATACGCTGAAATATATATATATATATATATATATATAAACAAATTCCAGTATTTATCGAATAATAATTAATTAGCGATAGAATGCGTATCTAACGATCTGCATGATCACAATTGATAAACAAGATTATTATTTTTATGATGAAATATATTCACAGAAAATAATTAGACAAATTTTTCAAAATTTTTTTTTACATGTTACGATTTTCTCAGAAATTGTTTTATGTTGCAATATAAATTTATCAAAATACGACACGACAACAATAATTTTAAATAACGTGGATTTGAATGTTTACATATACATTCTGAAATTATGATTAACATTGTTACGTAAAACATGTATTCTCTTATTTATTATCATATATCTTATACTAATGTTATACATGAAGTGACGGTATTTCTTTAAAAGTTTTATTATCCTCTTCATCAACTCTTTATTATCCGTAACCCGCCAAGCCTACTACCCCTGTCCAGATTAATCCGTAAGAGTTATCAAAATATCGTTAGCTTGGACGGCGGGTAAAGCTAAAAGTGATTCACTGCCCACTTATTTCATTACGACCTGTAATGTCCGCATTGCCCGATCAATGTTTCATGCGGAAACCACTGGCGTGTTCTAGCGCTTCGATTATTTATGAACTCCTCGTGTCTTCGTCGAGTACGGCGTACCTACGACTGTCTCTAGGTTGCTGAACTGCCGTCACTCTTTTTAATTCCGAAATTCCCCTCTCGCTATCTTACCGTTTGTTGTACTTTCCGTAACGAAATGCGAAGCTGCATCTCGACAGAATTGACAATTAAAATGCTACTAAAAGAGGAAAATATAAAATGAAAAATATAGAATATATGTCTTGTTTGTCACACAGATATATGTCTACATAAATTATTTGAATTTTGTACATAAAACAAAATGAAGAAAACGAAAACTTTTAATGGAAGCAGCTGTTAATTAAATATTTTTTTTACGCATTTTGTCTAATTTATCAAATATTCTTCCCGTTTAATTTTTCTCATAAATTGAGCTCTACGCGATGATGAAAAACTTGAAAATTGCTGAAAACTTGAATGTAATTTCTAAAGAATGAAAAAAAGCGTCAAGTTTACGAATAAATTTACGAATAAAACCATTTACTGTGTGAGTATGTGAAAGTACGATTAAAATAATTACTTGTTCGTAGAAGTATTAGAGTGAGACGTAATACTTTCCCGCGGGAAGTTGTATCCATAATGACAACGTTTTTCACGCGGACATGCTGCTTAATCGAAGCATTAGCAGGGCAATAAATTACGATTCGTGACTATATATATAAGGGGCAAGGATGGACCCTCCTTTAACGTAACACTTGAACAGTCACTCGATCTTCATACGTGCACACATACATGTGTATACACACGTCTGCAATAGTCGAAATTACCAAAGTTGGGAAGAAGGTTCTAAAGTCTCTCTCACACTTACTACTTTTTTTATTTGTACAACGAATTAGGTTTTTTTCGTGTTCACATACCGTCATCTGAATCGAACTTAGTTAAAATGCCGAGTCTATCTTTATTTAGGACCATGCATTAATTAACGAGCTAAATATTATCATAATATGTATACTATTATAGTGCTGATTACCGCAAGCATAAAAAAATTAATCTTTCTCCTCGCTGTTATTTTCTTCTCTTGTATATAATATCTGCTTAATGTGTTTAAAAAGATTTATAAAATCACGCGCATTGATAACATAATATAAAACGTTTGTATGTTGTGGACGAAGCTTAATAGTGCCACCAAGAATACAGATTGCTCTTATTAGCTACATAGTTAACACTTGCTACTGTTGTTTAGCAAAGTTTCTTCCCCTTTGCGCGATTCTCTGCAAACGTCGTCGCGGTTAATAGAGTCATTTTTCGATGCGGCCGACCCTTGCGGTCGAGATACGTCTTCTAGAAGTAAGGTATTATGAGGATTAGGCAATTACAATTGAATTATCAGACCCTGCAAGCCCTCCGCATAATTTATTCCATCGTCCGACGGTGGGTCTGATTAAGTGGCTAACATATAACTGATAACAAGACTGTATAGCGCAGGATCAGGGAGTGGTTTGAAATTATAATTTAGAAAGACGATCCGAAAAAAGACATTATAAAATAAATAATGTTTCTTAATTTTTCATCACGTTTTCTCGAGAATGTTAATAATGCTCGCTTGGCTGATTATTTTCAAGAAATATCTATTAGAATATTAATAACGTTTTCTATATTGTCAACTATTCTAAAGAAGACGTAAAATTATCGCGTACAAATTCCAAAATATATAAGCAGAGTACGTCTCTTTTTTTCTGAGGAATCCACGGTGTAAAGGCATTAGCGAAATAAGTCGATTATATATAATTGCAGATATTCTGTGTAATTCATTCGTATCAGATGCGCGTAATCGTTTGTCTATCAAGGTACTGTTCCTTGGAAAATCGTATTTCAACAGAAAACCAATTCTCTTAATCCATTTCGCTCGGGAAGCAGACGAATGCAAAATTAGATGTGCCCCGGACACATCAATATGGTACATAAACCTTCGAACGTGTGCACAAAATCAATTAGCAATTAAAGCTCAGTCGTGTCTGAGCCAAGCGGTTAGTCAGAGAACCGTCCGCGAGATTCGATCGATAAATGCCGCCAAGTAGCGCATCCGTCGCGTCAATAAGATACGAATAGCACGGCATCAATACTAATTGTAAGAGGGGCGCATTAGTAGCGCGAATGAAAAAAATAAAATAAAATCTCACCACGCGGCGTGTGCGGTTCAATTACGTATCATCCGTATACGAAATTGATTAGCGATCAGCTCGCGGTTACTACGAGTCCGAATGCGGAGTGCAGAGAGCGCGCCACGGACCCGTCGGCTATCGGATATCGCAAATTGGGACAATTACGTTATTTCCGTCCGATAACCTACATCACGGAGTAGTCTGACGCATGAATAAGTAAATTCTTCCAGAAAATCTGACGTCTGACACGAAAACGGGGAGACTGTTCAAATTATCACTTGCATGGCGGAGTACCTACTGTCTAGAGTAAAGAACATTATTCGTGGGCTTCTCGCGCTGTGGGTCCATCAAATTCAGTTTCATTCGTAGCGCAGACGCGACTCGACCCCGCGGCCGCCGTCGCCTCCACCGCCTTCTCCACTGTTTCCGCCACCGCCGACGATTTATAATAGCGCTGTTACACTCCGCTCCCTTAACGACGTTAATATTAAGCGTTGCTATTGTCGCTAATACTATCATATTAACGTCTTTTTATGTCCGTGGTACGCCGTGACGCTGTGACTTGCGGCTACATCTCGTCTCTGATATTATTGTTGTTAAATCTGCGTTATCGATTTCCATTTCCGCTGTGTTCAATCATTCCGTTGTGGTCCCATCGTATTATCGTCACGTATTGTTTTGCTCTATCATGTATTATTATTACATATATATGGTATGTTTAACGCGATCACTCTCCGCGTGTCATCTTTATCGATAATGTTCTTCACAAATTTATGCGATATAGATATAATACCTCCTCCGTAAATCGTCATCCCCCCCCATTATTATGTCAATGTATGAAAAAATTCAATACATTGATGTACGAATAATTTCGCGCGGCCATCGAGAGAAGAATGTACGAACGGTAACGAAAAATGCCGGATCGCGTTGATTCCTGTCGCAGCATCGCGAGTATCTGTTGCATCCGTGGTGAGCATAAGTGACACATAGCTCTTTTTACGGTACTCGACTATCGCCTCATCGTATATCTAAATAATCAATTTACTACTGGCCATAATCGTAACCACGAGTTAGCAAGTTTATGCGAGCCTGGCTACCGTAACTACGTGGCTCCGTAAAGCATAAATATTATGAGGCATTTCGTATACAGTAACAGTCTCATAATCTCTTTCTCTTCCCCCTTTTCTCTCTACCTTTCTCTGCCCGTCTCTCCTTCTTTTTCTTCATTACCTCCTCTTTCACTTTTCTCCCTTTCCTTTTCTCCACTTATAATTTTGAGAGAATGAGATCTAATTGAATTTTCACTCTAAGGAAAAGTTTTCAAATTCCCCGTAGAAAGAATCGTCATATGTGTGACAATAAGTATTTTTTATATACTTATATGTACGTATCACATAAGTGTATATAATTTGAAACAGAGTATATATTTATCAGAAACAGAGTATATATTTATTAGAAACATATCATAAAGAGGCTTATTTAATTTTTAACGTCATTTTTTGAAATATTTAGCTCATAAAATGGAAAATAAATATAATGATAAATCAAGTTAAGTATGTGTATATTTTATGTATCTGTATATCTGATAAATCTCGCGTAAACTTTTCCATTTATTAACTTTATAATGTTGCGATATTACGACAACGTAATTGTCGTACATATTAAGCGAATATAATTATTAGAAAGACGACACGTGATGTGTATAACTACATTGTCTCGTCTGCAGACGTCTCAAATAATCGGGTTGTTCTATTAAAATGATATCACGGCGACGTCGTTCCGTAAAGATGTAATTAATCCGTCTAGGCGCTTTATTACTATCTTCTAAATATCTCTATGATTAATAAAACAGTTGACTTTTCTCATAATTTCTCACGATGAATTATATCGTGTTTTAATAATACTATAATATTTATCTCAACATCACGCGGTACAAAGTCAAATTAATCGAATCAACCCCTCTCTAATTTGAAAAACGTGCACAGAGGAAAAAAATAAAAAATAAAAAAAAATATAATTCAGTACTCACATTATGCCTTGGTGACCAAGAATTGCACACAATGGATGCGTCTTCGAATATACGACTCTGCAAAATGAAAAAATGCCATTTCTCATCAGAGTCAAGATTTTCTTATAGTACAGCACTAAACCAATTTTATCTGGATAGTGTTAAATGTATTTTTTTTTTCACGTAGAAATGGCAGCACATGAGATGAAAATCTAAACTAAAAACAGAAAAACGGAAAGACGAGATGTCAAGCGCCAATTTGCAAATATATTTAAATGGATAAACAATTGTTTATTATGTTTTTTATATTATGCAGAAAAGAAATTGTAGTATTTTATGCTGACTAGACGAATATTTTAATAACAATGAATTTAATATTGCTATGACAATAGAATTTTTCAAAATCAATCCACACTTAATCGTCAATTACATTTTTATTTTTGAAAATGTATAACGTAAATGTGATAAATATTTGTTCTTATTGTTGGACTTGGTCTGATTCCGTTCTAAACTTTTAGTGCTTCCTTTTATAACAAAATTAATAATCCGATAATATATATATATCATTGATTATCTACAATGCCAATTTCACAACGTGAAATTTGAGACAACGTGCGATAGAACAGTAGACGTAAAATTAACATTATTGTATCGCGAAAATGTATATTTTGTTAGCGTAGATCCATATGTTCGACAAGGGATGTCACGAGGCCGTTTTAGAGTCCCACGTAGACCACGTAATAAATTTCAATACGCGGCTAATGACCGTAGCCGAGAAGTATTTTCATCCGAATGGAAATCGAACGTGTTATGCGATTTACCTGTCAACGGCACTTAATATTTATCTCGTCTGCATATTTTATTTTTGCCGATCGCGCCGCAGGACACGCACGCGTGCGCGCGACCGTGTGTCGCGCGCAATTGTCCGCTTACACCTATACAGACACATTCACACACACACACACACACACACATAGATACCGACACACGTACATGATATACATACGTATGCATTTATATTATATTTAAAGCGAAGTCGAAAGATTGACAGAATCGGGGCATACCGGCGTCGCGACGCCGTCGCAAATTAAATGAGTCATTTTAGGATTCGCGCAGAACTAGGTAATTCAATATCGTCCTTATTAAAGCGTCGGCCAATTCTGCACTCGCGCGTTTCTTGATGACAATGATTATGTCATTACGGGCACCGAGACTAATATGAATACATCACTCTTCCGAAGAGACGTACTTTATTAACGTGTCACACGTTCCAACGAGTCTGTGGTGATACTTGGAATCGACGTGTACGCACAATATATCATCGAGCTTCGATTGCAGATATACGTGCCACTCAGGGTGCATTTGACATGATTTTTCAATCATTTGTCATCTTCCGCCCGGTGGATATCGGTGCCATTTTTACGCCCGACTGTCAAATATTCATCGAGACAAACAACCGTAAAAAAAAATTGAATAGATTGAACCTTATTTTTCCGTTCGTTTCAGAATTTTAGATGGCGTTTAATGATACTTGATTCAAAACTTGGTTAACGAGATATTTTCGGTTAATTCTGAAGAATTATGAAAAACGTAGCGTCTTTCGTTTCGGCGAATATCAACGTCGTATTTTTGTGCTCATTGACGACATTATCTCGCCATGTTATCCGTCTGACGGCTTGGACATGATATCGTATGATTTGATGTTGTTGGTTTGACATTTTCAATAATTCATCTCGATAATCAGAAATCTAATTGATATCTTGAATATGATTACTGTCATCAACAGAATATAGTTTAGCTTCGATATTTCTCAATACAACAGATAAGCGAATAGAAGCATCCTAAGTTACGTTTCCTTATGAATAAAAGAGATTAAAGTAGATTTAAAGAAAAAAAATGCATGCCTCGACGTTCTCTTCTTCCTTAAACTGTATCGATAAAAGAATTACTTAAAAATTAGCTAGATTTATCAGATGACTGGCATTAACCACAGATAGAATGCTACTTAGTCAAATTCTTTGAACATGGATAATACGCTTACGCAACAATATGCTGTGGCGCATTTAGCATCATACAGTATAACGTACATCATCTCTTAAATTCCATATACGATCGTATATATATGTATATATATATATATATATATATACATATATACGCGAGTGTGAATATGTAGGCATGTGTGCGTTTGTACAGTGCGCGATGGTACTGGCTA